ATGTGTGTGTGTGTGTGTGTGTGTGTGTGTGTGTGTGTGTGTGTGTGTATAAAATAAAGTGCATTCACAATCACCACTAAAAAAATACAGTGAGCCCTGGCCAGTGTGGCTCAGTTGGTTGAAGCATTGTGCTGTGCACAGAAGGGTCACAGGATTGATTCCCAGTCAGCATGCATGCCCAGTCAGGAGGCAGCCAATCGATGTTTCTCTCTCACATCATTGCTTCTCTCTCTCCTTCTCCCTTCCTTTCTCTCCATAATCAGTGAAAAAACATCCTTGGGTGAGGATTAAAAAAAAAAAAAATACAATGAGATGTAGTAAAAAAGCCCATAAAAATATTCAGATAATCTTAAAAATTACAATTCAGTAACACACACCTGACTAGAAAAAAATATATTCTATCATCTAGGCAATAGAATTATAGATATTAAATTTTTTTTTCTTTCTACAAAAATTTGTGTCTACCAGATTTTCTTATGGATTATTGGTATAACCAGAAAAAAAATTAACTTTGGTATTCTTAAAAGCAAAAACTAGAATAGATGTCTTTATGGTCTGGATTATTGTGTAAAAGAATAAAATGTAAACATAAATGAAATTTTAAAAGAATAAAATGTAATTCTAATGGTATCATCTCAGCCAGATATTTACTGTGCTCTAACTAAAAAATGTCTTAAAAATTGATCTACAGCACATGTTGGTCCAAATTAGTATGCCTTGTAAAATCAGTTGTTCTTTCCTCTAGGAGTTGTAATGTTGAGTAGTTGATCATCTTGAGTAATTAAGCACTTTCTCTGCCTTAGAAATGACTTTTTAAATAATACACATTGAATATGAAGAAAAGTAAGCTTATAATTATGTCCTTAGGATCAAAGTTCTGATCGTACCAGTCTTTCTTCAGTGGGAGCCCAGGATTCTGAATCCGCCTCTTTAACAGATGAAGATGCCTGCCCAGAGTTGGAAGGAGCCACTTCCTCCCAAGAGTGCAGTGCCACCACAGGGACTAAGGGAATTGATTTGAGCAGAACAAGCCTAGAAAGTTCTGCCTCCCTAGAAGGTTTGTTCAAACGGTATTGTCATATTTCATTTGACAGGTGGTACCTTTACTTTTTCTCCCCTTAATGTTTTATTTTTGTAAAAGATTTGCATGACTCCAAAGTCAAAACAGTAGAGAACCAGGCACTTTCAGCTTCCACTCCCACCCCCTTCATCTTGTTTCTCCCTTTCCCTAGAGGTAACCAACCATTTTTATTCATTTTGGTTTATCCCTCCATTGTTGCTTTTTAAAATAATAGGCTCACGGTTGTGTGTATTTTTATTACCTTCTTGTCTTGTTACTCAAAAGGTAACATACTGAAAATACTTTGCCACTCCTTTTTTTTTTCCTCTTAACAGTAGATCAGTCACTACATATCATCACATAACATTGTCCCTCATTCATTTTTATGGTTGCCTAGTTCACCATGTGTCAATGTATCATACTTTATTTTAACCCCGTCTCTGTTGATGGACATTGTTTCCAGCCTTTGACTATTACAAATAATGCTATGATGCATGTATGTCATATTATATTTTTGCCAGGGTACTTTGAAAGATACTTCAAAATTCTTCCTTGAAGTGATAGTGCCAAGTTCCCTTCCTCAGGGCTACACTATTTTACATTCCCGCTGGCAGTGGGAATATAAGAATACCTATTTCCTCACAGCCTTGTCAGCAAAATATGTTGGCAAACTTTTGGATTTTTGCCATCTGATAGGTGAGGAATGTATTTCAGTTTAGTTTTCATTTATACTTCTTTTATAATCTGAGTTGAGGATCTGTTAATATGTTTAAGGACTATTTGTATTTCTTTTTCTGTGGACTGTCCTTTGCCTACATTTCATTTGTTGGCCCTTTTTAAAAAAAGTTTTAATAGCTCTTTTTGTATTGAGGAATTAATCCTTTATATAAATCCCTTTATCTCTTATATAAATGGCAGATACTTTTTCCAAGTTTGTCAAGTTTTGTGGGGGTGGGCAGGGGTGTTTGTCACAAGTAAGGTTTTAATTTTATGTCATCAAATTTCTCATTCTTTTCCCCTCTTGCTTCTGGATTTTGAGTCATTAGAAAGATTTCCCCTCTTTTTTTCCTCCTTTGTCATATATTCATGAAGAAATCAGGTGATTAGCTCCCTTCCCTCTTTTTTTTTTAAACATACAAGAATAATTTAATGTGCTAAGCTCACAACCTGATCCATACTTGTTAAAATGAATGTTTATTCTTTGCTCACAATTAATTAGATACAAAGGTGCCCACATAAATGATTGAAATAGTCAAGGCAGTCCGGCCGGGTGTGGCTCAGTGGTTGAGCTTTGACCTAGGATCCAGGCAATCTGCGTTCGATTCCCAGTCAGGGCACATGCCCGGGCTGTGGGCTCGATCCCCAGTCGGGGGCATGCAGGAGGCAGCCGATCAATAACTCTCTCATCATTGATGCTTCCATCTCTCTCTCTCCCTCTCCTTTCCTCTCTCTGAAATCAATAAAGATATATTAAAAAAAAAAAAAATAGTCAAGGCAGATATTAGAAAGCAGTTTTGAACTAGCTTTAGCAGAGAGAGATTACAGAAGGTTATTGGGAAGCCATCAAGGAAAGAACTACAGTTTCCACCTTCAGTTCTCTCTGCTTCCCTACATCTCTTTGTGGCAGGGCCTAGGGAGAGTGGTCTCTCTGGAGCTATCTTTTTTCCCTCCTTGTCATCATTTATTTGCTGAAGCAGCCAGTTCATTCGTCTGGATTATGCTGATTGCATCCCCATGGTGGTGGTTGACATGCTTTCCTATCCTCTCTATATCTTGTGAATTGGTACTTTTTTTACCTTTACTTTATATCTATTAAAATACCAGTGCTCATTCATAAAATTTAATAACTATTGGGAAAAAATAGAGAAGATATAGATTACCTCCAATTTTACTAACAAGATATAGTCACTGTCAACAATTGATTTGACCACAGAAGTCACCTTTTTGTCGTTGTTGTTTTAGTACTTACTAGTATCCCATTGCTCTTAAGAATATACTTGGAGCCCGGCAGGGCGTGGCTCAGCTGCCAGCATTGACCTAGGATCCAGGAGTTCGAGGTTGATTCCCGGTCAGGGCACTTGCCTGGGTTGCAGGCTCAATCCCCAGTCGGGGGCATGCAGGAGGCAGCTGACCAATGACTCTCTCATCATTGATGTATCTATCTCTCTCTCTTCTTCTCTCTGAAATCAATAAAGATATATTTCAAAAACAAAAACAAAACTTTCTATCTTTAAAAAAATAATAATAATAATAATTATATACTTGGAAGTGTGTGTGTATATATATATATATATATATATATATATATATATA